GGAGATTAGCTACAGTGCCATGGGTTGCAAACTTCTTGATAATGTTGCGCACTGTGGACAAAGGCAAATCTAGTTCTCTGGAGATGGACTTGTAACCTTGAGATTGTTGATATTTTGCCACAATTTTGGTTCTCAGGTCCTCAGACAGTTCTCGTCTCCTCTTTCTGTTGTCCATGCTTAGTGTGGCACAGACAGACACACAATGCAAAGGTTAAGTGAACGTCTCTCCTTTTCATCTGCTTTCAGGTGTGATTTCTATATTGCCCACACCTGTTACTTGCCCCAGGTGAGTTTACAGGAGCATCACATGCTTGTAACATTCTTATTTATCCGCAGTTGTGAAAGGGTGCCAATACTTTTGTCCAGCCCATTTTTGGAGGTTTGTGTGACATTATGTCGAATTTGCTTTCTTTCCTCCCTTTTTTTGTTTTGTCCCAATACACACAAAGGGAATAAACATGTGTATAGCAAAACATGTGTTAATGCAATACGTTTCGTGAGAAATACATGATTTCCTGGAGAAATATCAAGGGTGCCAACAATTTCGGCCATGACTGTACATATAGCTGCTAGCAAATCCATAGATATGAATTGATCAATATGTATGCATATAAAGTGCAGCACATAAAACTCAGGAAAAATCATCAAAAGGGAATAAATGATAAAAAAAAGTCCAACACAAAAATAAATAGTCCCAAAAAAGACATTAATTTTCATCCAACTTCCTCTCGGACAATGTAGACTGTTTCATATACTCAAAACAGCACACAATTATCCTCCACAGATCTTCATATAATCTCACCAGAATCTTCCCAGTAAGAATGTGTTGTATATCATATGATCTTCTCCATCGTCTACTTGACTTCTCCCAATAGCAAAAAAATGAATATAGTGTAGTAATCCCACACATAATGTAATAGGTGATACACCCGTGCATGAATACAAAACACTTTGTGAATGGTATCCACCACTGACCACACTAATTACCCCTCACAGGGTGAAAATGTGCGTACAACTCTCCATCACTAGAATTATCCTCTACATAAGAGTGTGACCATGCACCCTCCACCTCCAATGTACAAATAAATCCACGTGCTCTTCCCTTCCCCTATAGACATGCTCCTTACCCTGCATATATCGATAAGTGCCTTCAATACTTCCGGTTACGTCTGACGTCACATCTGCCTCAGACGTAGATGGATGTGACATCAGACGTAACCGAAAGTGCCGCGGTGGCCATCTTGGTACAGGTTGTTTGTACTTTTCTTTCATGTAAGCTCAATTTTAATAATAAATTGGTCATTTTACTCTTCTGCTGCACTATGGACTTGTATGTTTGCTTTTATATGGTGATTGAGAGTTTATGAAGAGCGGGTGAGGAGAAAACAGAGTGAAGATTACACTGAGTATTGAAAGAACTTATCGATGTTTGCAGGGTAAGGAGCATGTCTAAAGGGGAAGGGAAGAGCAGGTGGATTTATTTGCACATTGGAGGCGGAGGGTGCATGGTCACACTCTTATGTAAGAGGGGAAGAGTAATTAGTGTGGACAGTGGTGGATACCATTCACAAAGTGTGTTGTTTTCATGCACGGGTGTATCACATATCACAGGTGTATCCAGGAGGTCATAAAAGAACTCAGAACAACATCTAATAAACTACATTCCTCACTTGCATCAGGTAAGGTCTGTGTTCATGATTCAGCAAGAAGACTGGGCAAAAATGGCCTCCATGGGAGAGTTCCAAGGCCAAAACCACAAAGGCTCATCTCACATTTGCTAAAAAAAATCTTGATTATCCTCCAATTTTGAGGCAAATATTCTGTGGACTGATGGGACAAAAGTTGACCTTTTTGGAAGGTGTGTGTCCTGTTACATCTGGTGTTAAACTAACACAGCTTTTTATAAAAAGCATAACATCCCAACAATCACACGTGGTGGAGGTGGTGGAGGTGTGATGGTAGTGTGATGGTCTGGGGCTGCTTTGCACATAGATGATCAATAGAATGGTTTCCTTTCATGACTGCTTGCTTAGTGTTGTGAAGCTGTGATGGGCTCACAGCTATCACATGGTACCAGGCTACCTCTACCATGTAATTAGCTGTAGCCTATCACAGCATGACAACAGTAACTAAGCTGTCATGAATGTTAATCCATTCATGACAGCTAAAACTATTGTTTATAAAACTTAACTTCCTGATGACAGGATGTAAAAATATAGTAAAAAATTGTTAACATTTTGAACAAAAATATATGTATTTACTTTTTTTTTCATGTTGTCACCAGTCAATATCCCTGATCATCGCCACACCAGTCACATGATGACCCTGTACTGCATTGGTGACAGTATGTAAAAAAAATAGTGAAAAAAATGTATTTAATTTCCCAATTTTGCATAAAACAATGACAAAATTTACAACTTCAAAAAACTCACAATGCCTCTTACTAAATCCCTCAGACTGTCTGCTTTCCAAAAAGGGGCCATTTGGGGGTATTTATTAATAATAAGGTACTTATTTAGCACGTCAATCAGAATGTACAATATATATGTAAAGCGCTGCGTATATTGATGGCGCTACAAAAGTACCTGAAATAATTATATATATAAATACATTTACGCAGGGGGGGATTTGTACCGTCCTGACATTTGGGGGGATTTGTACCGTCCTGACATTTGGGGGGATTTGTACCGTCCTGACATTTGGGGGGGATTTGTACTCTCCTGACATTTGGGGGGATTTGTACCGTCCTGACATTTGGAGGGATTTGTACTGTCCTGACATTTGGGGGGATTTGTACTGTCCTGACATTTGGGGGGGATTTGTACCGTCCTGACATTTGGGGGGATTTGTACTGTTCTGACATTTGGGGGGATTTGTACTGTCCTGACATTTGGGGGGATTTGTACTGTCCTGACATTTGGGGGGTATTTGTAATGTCCTGACATTTGGGGGGATTTGTACTGTCCTGACATTTGGGGGGTGTTTGTACCGTCCTGAGATTTGGGGGTATTTGTACTGTCCTGAGATTTGGGAGGTATGTGTACCGTCCTGAGATTTGGGGGGATTTTGACTGTCCTGACATTTGGGGGGGATTTGTACTCTCCTGACATTTGGGGGGATTTGTACCGTCCTGACATTTGGAGGGATTTGTACTGTCCTGACATTTGGGGGGATTTGTACCGTCCTGACATTTGGGGGGGATTTGTACTCTCCTGACACTTGGGGGGATTTGTACCGTCCTGACATTTGGAGGGATTTGTACTGTCCTGACATTTGGGGGGATTTGTACTGTCCTGACATTTGGGGGGATTTGTACTGTCCTGACATTTGGGGGGGATTTGTACCGTCCTGACATTTGGGGGGATTGTACTGTTCTGACATTTGGGGGGATTTGTACTGTCCTGACATTTGGGGGGATTTGTACTGTCCTGACATTTGGGGGGTATTTGTAATGTCCTGACATTTGGGGGGATTTGTACTGTCCTGACATTTGGGGGGTGTTTGTACCGTCCTGAGATTTGGGGGTATTTGTACTGTCCTGAGATTTGGGAGGTATGTGTACCGTCCTGAGATTTGGGGGGATTTTGACTGTCCTGACATTTGGGGGGGATTTGTACTCTCCTGACATTTGGGGGGATTTGTACCGTCCTGACATTTGGAGGGATTTGTACTGTCCTGACATTTGGGGGGATTTGTACTCTCCTGACACTTGGGGGGATTTGTACCGTCCTGACATTTGGAGGGTTTTGTACTGTCCTGACATTTGGGGGGATTTGTACTGTTCTGACATTTGGGGGGATTTGTACTGTCCTGACATTTGGAGGGATTTGTACTGTCCTGACATTTGGGGGGGATTTGTACTGTTCTGACATTTGGGGGGATTTGTACTGTCCTGACATTTGGGGGGATTTGTACTGTTCTGACATTTGGGGGGATTTGTACAGTCCTGACATTTGGGGGGATTTGTACTGTCCTGACATTTGGGGGGATTTGTACTGTCCTGACATTTGGGGGTATTTGTGCTGTCCTGACATTTGGGGGGGATTTGTACAGTCCTGACATTTGGGGGGATTTGTACTGTCCTGACATTTGGGGGGATTTGTACAGTCCTGACATTTGGGGGGATTTGTACTGTCCTGACATTTGGGGGATTTGTACTGTCCTGACATTTGGGGGTATTTGTACTGTCCTGACATTTGGGGGGATTTGTACTGTCCTGACATTTGGGGGGATTTGTACTGTCCTGACATTTGGGGGGTGTTTGTACCGTCCTGAGATTTGGGCGTATTTGTACTGTCCTGAGATTTGGGAGGTATGTGTACCGTCCTGAGATTTGGGGGGATTTTGACTGTCCTGACATTTTAGGGCCTCGAGAAATGAGATTGTCCATCAGTACATCAGGATTAATCATATTTCAGATATACATCATATCCCAGGGTAACTTTCACACAGAACAATAACTATACACTTATTGAGAATTTTACTTCACAAAAGACTTATAGTAGAATATATTTGGCCTAACTTTATAAAGAAATTAGATTTTTTTTTTGATTGGATATGTTTTATAACAAACTATAAAATATAAATTTTTTCAAAATGTTAATTTTTTTTCTTGTTTTTAAAATGAAAAACCCAGTGGTGATCACATACTCCCAATAGAAAACTCTATTGTGTGAACAAAAATGATATAATTTTAATTTGGGTACAGTCTTGCCTGTCCGTGCAATTGCTAGGTAAAGTAGCACAGTACTGAATAGCAAAAAATGGCCTGGTCATGAACGGGGTAAAACCTTTGGAGGTCAAGTGGTTAACCATTAGCCACCCGGCCAATGGCTGTTTGGCGGCTTCAAATGTGTCCCTGCATTCCGGGTGCACGCCATTTGGCGTCCTCCCGCACATGCGCCGTTTGCGCTAATGCAGAGTGGCGCAGCAGTGCGATCTGTCAGCGTCCGTGCACCTCGGACACGGCCGATGACAGATCCGAGTACTGGCTCCTGTTGCTGGTACCATGTGACCTGCTGTGACCAATCACAGCAGGTCACATGACAGTTGTATACAATGGATGGCTTCATTCATGATGCCATCCATTGTATACTAGTGCCTAGCTGTGAATGGTCACAGCTAATCACATGCACATGTCATGTGATTAGCTGTGACCAAATCACAGCTAAGCACAAAAAAAAAAAAAAAAAAGCTGAATGAATCGATTTCATTCAGGTAAATGCCTGTTTATAGCAAAGTAATTCTTTGCTATAAGCAAATTGTGTAAAAAAAAAAAAAAATACTGATCACTTCCCCAAAGTAGTACAATGTTACTATGGTAACATTGTACTACTTTGGTCATAATAAAATATGTAAAAAAATCTTAAAAAAAATAAAAAAAAATGTAATAAAAAATTAAATATAATAAAAAAATAAAAAAAAATTAAAAAAAATATATATATATATTTTTTTTCATACTGTCACCAGTCAGTGTCCCTGTTCACTGCCATGCCAGTTATATGATGACGCTGTACTGCACTGGTGACAGTATGTAAAAAAAAAATAGTGAAAATAATTTTTTTAATTTTTTCATAAAAATTATGACAAAAAAATACAACTTCAAAAAACTTGCCATTCCTCCTATGAAGTACGTCGGACTGTCTACTCTGCAAAAAGGGGTCATTTGGGAATATCTGTACTGTCCTGACATTTGGGGGATATCTGTACTGTCCTGACATTTGGGGGATATCTGTACTGTCCTGACATTTGGGGGATATCTGTACTGTCCTGACATTTGGGGGATATCTGTACTATTCTGACATTCTTGGACCTCAAGAAATTAGATTGGCTGTCAGTACTTCAGGATTGATCAATAATCAGATCTATACCATAGTTTGTGAACTCTATAACTTTCCTACAAACTAAATAATACATCCTAATTTGGGTTATTTTCACCAAAAGACATGTAGCAGAATACATCTCGGCCTAAATTTATGAAGAACAATTATTTATTTGTAAACTTTTATAACAGAAACAAAGAAAAACGTGTTTTTTTTTCAAAATTTTTGGTCTTTTTTTGTTAATTTAGCAAAAAAGAAAAACTCCAGCGGTGATTAAATACCACCAAAAGAAAGCTCTAGTTGTGTGAAGAAAATGATAAAATTTTAGTTTGGGTACAATGTTGTATGACCGCGCAATTGTCATTCAAAGTGTGAGAGCGCTGAAACCTGAAAACTGGCCTGGGCAGGAAGGTGTAAAATTGCCCGGTATTGAAACGGTTAAAATGCTATGATTGCATTATATGAAAATTAGGACCTGTGTCAATGGGATTTTTTTTCACCAGATCTGCTTTTTTTCCTATTAAGCGTAAGCAGGTTGATGAAGTTTAGAAGGAGATGAACTGCTGATCAGCTGGAGGACAAAGGCTGTAAAGTGCCTCTCTTAATGAATTCTGATCCATCTCAGAAGCATCTCAGTCAGATGTTAAGAAGAATACACCTGAACACACCCCGCATTTCCACATATAAATAGAATCCACACACTTCTGTTTTCATGTATCTAATAAAGTTCTCTATTTTATCTTTACAGTCTGGTGATCCTGTGTGTGGCCGGGGGCCATATTAATGTAGTCTAAGCTGAGCCTAACCATACATATCCTGACCAGCAGCAGCATACAGTGTCACCAGCCACAGGACTTACCTTCTGGGTCATTAGAGTGGTGCTGCTTTTTAGTTTAGCCTACATTAGTCAGTACACTTCTGTTTTCATGTTTCTAATAAAGTCTGTCTGGATTTACACTGTGTGGAGGTTCCTCTCTGGTCCGGCTTATGAGTGGTGAATTGTGAAGAGGAGATGTTATAAAGCTGGAGGGGAGTCGTATTATGTGCTGTGAAATCCTCCCACTACTAAGTGATGGTTGCCGGTATGGGGAACATCTCAGGATGGGAAGATAAGATCAGAAAGTGGGTGACAGTTTTAGGATTTTATGACCTTCTAGGAATCTAGAGGAGATTCTTCTCTGGTGAGTTCCCTGTTTCCATGGAGGTGGTGGAATCACTGGACAATGGGCGCCGTTTTCTGCTGGGGAACCAACACGTGGTGTGACACACATAGAAGGGGCCTTCAAGCTGGATGGGTTGGAGTCACTACCAGGGGCGGACTGAAAACTCATGGGGCCCCCGGGCAATAGGGGATCATGGGGCCCCTGTGTCCTTGCCCAAACTCAAAAAAGACTATGAAAAAGGTACCAGGGGCATCTCATGGGGCCCCCTACTGACCCCCCGGGCAATAGGGGATCATGGGGCCCCTGTGTCCTTGCCCAAACTCAAAAAAGCCTATGAAAAAGTTACCAGGGGTATCTCATGGGGCCCCCTACTGACCCCGGGCAGTGCCCGGGTTTCCAAATGGTCAGTCCGCCCCTGGTCACTACTGACTACAGAGGAAGTCCACACATGGTTACATATTATACTGCTGGGACAATATCTGACACATTGATTTATTTACCTTCTAATGTTTCTGAGTTTGCTTATTGGATTTATATGTCATTGACTCGTCACATATTTCACTTTAGAGTACTCTGTATCCATTTATACCTCTACTTCTGAGTGTTATGTGACACATGGTTATAGCAGGACTTGTATTATCTGTATTAGGTGGAGGGAGAGCAAATCACAGGATTTCTAGAAGTTTAAGTATAAGAAAATGTATCTGAGTTTGAAATTGAAAGTTTTTAAGTGAAATATGAATCTGAGGAAAGTTTCTTTTTTCTGAGATCTTGGCTCTCTTGACTCTTTAGAGAAAAGAAATCCTCAGCTGAATTTATGTATCCTTCAGAGAGACACAACTTTGCTCTACTGATAAGCAAGAAAAAGAAAAGTAATTCAAGTTTGAAATGGAAAGTTTCAAATTAGATTTAAAAGTGGTAAAAAGTGAAGCTATGTACCAAAACAATGCAGAAAAGTATAATAAAGTATAAAATAATAAAAAATGGAGAGATGTGAGGAAAGAATATTCTCCAGCCGTCCTCTGCTGACATTTTATTGAATTTAGTCAGGATTAGAGTCATGGAGAGTTTTGTAAAAAGCAAAAAGAGTTTTTTCCTTAAACTAATGAAGTTAATCCAATTCAAATTTAATCGTAAAAATTTTTAATTTTTCAAAATATGGAAAAGAGAAGTTACCCGGAGCAGATGTTTAATTTGGGAGAAAAGTTTTAATAATGTATGTTTTATGCATGGTGGCAATGTGAGGCCCTGTCAAGGTGAAAATGCAGGAGGAAGTGACCAAGGGTCTCTAAACCATTAACCAGAGGGCTGAGTGTTCTTGTGTTCAGAGCAATTATAATCTGGACCTGACCATAGTTCAGGGCTCCATCCTCTCAAAAAGTCCCTGTGTGGTTGCAGGGTAGCAGCCAGTGAGGTGTGCATGTCTACACGGTGCTGTCTAGGACAGGAAAGACTGAGGCCTGAGAGATGGAGCAGCAGGGAGCTGAAGGAAAGAGACAGAGAGCTGAAAGAGGTGCAGGGTTTATATGAGAGCACAGGGGGGATGTGTTAGATGGTCCTGGTACGAGGACCTGTACAGCGATCAGTGTTCTGGACACAGCGGGCACCGGATCGCGGTGCCGCGCGCTCCAAGGGAGCGCGCACAGTTGAAAATGATGGGCGCTGTTTATGAATGGCAACCCACCCCTGCACTGCCACCATCTGGCCATTTATTTACAGCAGCCGGACAGGAAGTGGTTAAGCGGTATATCTGATGTAGACTGAATTCACTGCAGAGCGCTACAATGAGCTAAACAATCCCCTAATTGTCACAATTGGTGGAGGATGCAGTGGGCACCAGTGCTGGAGTTGTTTTGTGTCTTTGCTCCAACTGTGAGTTCAGGTCAGAGGCTGTCTGTGATTTGCAGTATGCAGCAGGTGGTGTACTTGCAAGGAACTGTGTTAACAACTGATTGCAGGGATGGGGAGGTCAAAATGCAAAACAGATGCAATTTACATAGAGATGAAGGAAAGACTATTATGGATGGAGAAGATTTTGTCCAAGCAAGTCTGGCACAGACGATAGAGTCAGCCTTTTTTGAGTATGCTGTAGACTGGTGCAAGAAGCATCTGGCCGCCTTAGAGCAAACAAAGGAGGAACGCAAGCCATCTCTCAGTGCAAAGAGATACAGGGTGGTCCATGCCCAGGAGATGGGAGTTGTTGCCCATAGAAACATAGCTGTAGAGAATCCCAGTCGGGCTGTCTGTGGACCATGGCCGTGAGTCATGACAGATGACATTTGAAGGAATCAGTCCAGACAGTAAGGGAAAACCAGAGAGCTTCTGCTGAAAGGATGTGATCTCCCTTAGCAACGGGGATGACACCTAACCAGAGGGGCTACCAAGGAGATAGGGTTCAGCATCCAACACCCTGCATGAGATATGGATAAGTTTGTGGCAAAAAAAAGGGACTCTAAAAGCCGCTAGATGCAAGCTGATCTCCCAGATTGTAAGCTCCTCCCCCTTCCTTGCACATCACAGCCTTCTCCTTCTCTAGGAATGTTTAATGACTGTCTGTGCTGACACATCTCCTCTGTCTGTCCCCTCACTTCTGTATATTACTTTTCAGGTAGTTTTTAAACTCCATATGAAGAGGTGTGAAGGGGAACTCTATAGACAACTCCAGTCTGTTAGGGCTGTTATATCACAACCAAGATGGCGGCACCCAGCAGCAGTCTCAGGGCTTTTGAAAGTGTACAAAATGGAGGATTTTACAGGTAAATAACATTTATAAAATATGAAAACTATACATAGAATCCTATGCTAGACTGGCGCTTCCCAGACACAAAGGGGGAATAGTCCTACCCAACATCTAGAACTATCTCCATGCATGCCATCTCTCTAGGATAGTAGATTGGAACGCTCATGACACTGTCAAAGACTGGGTCTCTCTCGAGGCATCTTTTCTACCCACGTCTCTTACTTCTACGCCTTGGTTGCACGCCCATCATACCCTTCCAGAAGCAAAAGTCCACCCTTTACTTTACCCTACCCTTTGCATCTTTAGTACTATCTGCAAAAGTTACAAGTCGATTTCATCAGTCTCAGGGTCTCTTAACCCACTGCGTCAAAACCCCCAATTTTCCACAGGGCCTACACCCTCCTCCAGGACTATTGGCCTTTCAAAAGGATTTTACCCTCCAATTTTTTAACAGAAATACAATCCTCTCTAGGGAACAACTTTCCTCTAACTTAGGAACAACTCCTATTCCACCGTGGTCATACCTGCTTTTAAATCATTACCTACTCCCACTTGATGAAAAACGACAGGTGTCTAGACCCCATTTGAGAAATTGGGCTCTAAACAATCGCCTCAAAGTCATTTAATCTCCATTATCCACTCCCAACTGATCTCCGATCACCCTTCTAACAGTGGCACAGCTTGTGCGGCATGGGAGAGAGATCTCTCTATTTCTTTCACACAAGATGACTGGGAACGCATACACCTGAACACACTTAAAAGGTTCGATGAATGTATCCACCCAAGAAAATGGTAACAAAATTCAATCGTACCCCTGCTCTTCTCCATAAATTTAACCCAGATATCCCTGACACCTGATGGAGATGTGAAAAGGAGGTAGGAACCCTTCTACATACATGGTGGACATGCCCCAGAATTAAGCAATATTGGTCTGAAGTACAACGAACAATCCAACACGTAACTACCTACACTCTAGATTTTAAGCCTGCTCAGTTCTTACGTCACCATTCCTCTCTCCCCAGTCAACCTTTTCTAAGTCTCTAGCAATGCATATGGTTAACTCAGCTAAACAATGTCTCCCAATCCACTGGGAGTCCCCACAATCTCCGACTATCAGAGAATGGCTCACCTGCATACGTAGAATAACTGAAATGGAAGAACTCATTTATATAGCCTGAGATTCACCTGCTAAATTTGATTCTAAATTGGCTTGCTGAACATATTTCCAGACAACTGAAGAGTTTGCTCTCTTGAATGACAAACCTTCTCCCCAATAATGACATTACCGTTCACCTAAGAGATCTCCTGTATATACCCAGCTTTTTTTAGGGTAATTATCTCTGAGGATAGGTTTGGGCATTAGGAACTTATCCGGTTTGGCGCCTTATCCTTTGCCTCACGGCCTTCTATGATGTGGGGAGGGGGAAGTGGCGCGAACCTTTGATGCCCAGCAGAGGGAGCGAGAGACAAATGTTACCCCTCTCTGTCATCCTTCCTCTATTTCTTAAGCTACTTCACCTGATAGGGCAGCAAAATGGCTAAATGGTTAGCACTTCCGCCTGGCAGTACTCGGGTCGTTGATTCAAATCCCAACCACGGCACCACATGCCTGGAGTTTGCATGTTCGCCCTATGCCTGTATGGGTTTCTTCCAGGTACTCCAGTTTCCTCCCACGCTCCAAAGACATGCTAGTAGGTGAATTGTCTCCTGTCTACATTGTCCCTAGTATGTGTATGGATGTGAGTTAGGGACCTTAGATTGTTCCCCCCTTGAGGGTTAGGGACTGATGTGAATGTACAATATATATGTAAAGTGCTGCATAAATTGATGGTGCTACATAAGTACCTGAAATAAATAAAATAAAACAAAGATAACTCTCTTACATGATGGCATTCAGCCACAATAAACCTCTCAGACCAGCAACCCAAACAGATGCCCCATAAACACAAAATGGGGGTGGGGTCTCTTGGTATACATAAACAAGAGCCCAGGACACTGAAACCTTATTACACAGTGTGTAGGTCCTAGCAAAGTCAGAATATATATATATATCATCAATTGTACATAGTCAGTGTTCTATTAAAGTTCACAATTATCTCTATTATATATATCATCAAAGGAAATATCAAATTGCTCTATAAAATGTATATTATATCAATCTTATATATCAGAATGTTCAATGTACCGACTGTATTCCCAGCTCAGTTCCAGTTTGGTTCCTAAACTTCACTAATGGAGGGGGAGGAAAGGCTCACCGTCTGTGTTAAGGGGATCTAATCCATTTCCCACCTTATTTGTATCCTCTGCCAAAATGGTGCCCACCGAGAACTGATATGTGACCTCATCCGCTCACCAGCAGGTCCCTGGACCATACACGTGCAATAAGCAGTACATGTTGGCCGTATCAGGAGAGAGACTCCACCCCCTGTCAAGGTGATGGCCAATGGTCTACATAATACACTCACATGTGTTTACACATTTGGGAAGATTTTATTCTACAAATTATATAATTATTATTATTCTACAATTCATCATTTCAGTCAAATTCTCGCACTGTAGTCCTGCAACAAGGATTATATTTATTAGTAATTAAAGAGATGGACAAGATAATTGTAATATCTGCTAGTATATTATTCATATTTTGTCACTCCAAAATGATCAACTTTTTAATTAGTTACAGTTTCTGCAAATAATCTGATGAGTTTTTTTTTTTTTTATTTATAAGGAAGTGGGGAAGGTTTAGAACTGTGTCCCTCAAGGAAGACTTCCCTTCACTTCCTGTCTTGGAGTACCAGTCACTTGGACAGGAAGTCAGTGGAAGTGTCCTTGTAGGTGTTACATGCAGCAGTCCAATAAAAAATAATTGCTCATCACTTCTTCCATTGGTGACACCAATTTACTGCCCAAGAATTGGTGGACAGTCTTCCTACATGAACAGTTGTGAACATAGGAAAAGTTTTATTTTCTTTTAGCAATTCATTCAATGGTAAAGAAAATGATTTGTTTGGAATACCTCTTGAGATTAGTTACAAGACAAATACAAAATTACATTTAGCTATTTAAAAGCGATGTCATTCTTGTAAAATCTCCCTGCTGGCCATCGCCTCTGGTAAGGTGAGGGAATAAATGTTGGGAAATAAGATCCTGGGAGAGATAGTTTTGCATCAAAATAATAGTCTATTAAACACATTAAGTCTATCTGTATTGTACTATTCCCTACTGTATATGATTAAACATTATTTTTAATATATTATTTTGTGACATTAACTTTTATGCGATCCATACTTCTTTATGGGAAATTTGAAAATGATTATTGCAACATTGATCATTTAGTAAATTAAGTCCAATCCCAGATTCAGTGGAAACAACAGATGATAAGAATAGATAGACCACTGAGTTCCCTCTATGAGGACAATCACCCAAGTGACACATGAAAAGTCCAAATGAATAAACAATCTCCATTATACTGTGTAATGAGTGACCACCTGACCATGACGGCTCCACCACCAAACTAATTCAAGGTCATCAGAAGAGTCCACTTCCACCATTCCTTCTTATAAGATATATAAAGAGGGATCCCACCAACTCTCTAGAATATTTCTGATGGAATATTCAACAAATGGGGAGGAAGAAAAGAAAAACTGTCAACGTTGCAACTTTATTTGTGTTGACGAGAGAAGAATCCAGAGCTCTTCCATGTTCCAGGTGGTCCCGGTACCACATCCTGCATACATAATGAGACATCGGCTCTCAGCGTGGTGAAGACATTTCCTCCTTAGGATTGTCTACATAAAAGGAGACTTTAGGATACAACCTTCATCCCAGCATAAACCTTATCACCTACCCTGCCTCCTTAACCACTTCCCGACCGGCCGTTGTATATAAACGGCCAGACGGTGGCACTGCAGGCTCGGGTGGCCGTCTATAAACGACCTATAAACGACCTCCCCGCACCCTGC